TAATTTTTCAAATGCTTTTGTAACTTTACTACTCCTGTTCTGAGGGGACAAATTGGCCACATTAGAATACACTGTAAAACTAATTGTAATGTCATATTTATCATATCATAAAATAATGCCTTCCTCTCAGTACTGGTTTTTATTTTTACCTTTACTGCTAAAATTTAGATTTTTATATTAGTACACAAGATGTTGCTCCACTTTAATATTTTAGCCACTGAAAATATCCATTTAGATGCAGTTCAACTCGGCCTCAGCAGAGGTCTGCGATAAATGAACCGTGAACTAGCGAGGGACTACTGTATTATTATTTGTTGTTGTGAAATAAATATTTTGTGAATATAAAAAAAAGGAAATGGGGAGTTTATTTTATTTTTTTTAGTTTTTTGAACAAAAGATCCCTAAAGAGTTTCATATTTAAGAATGAAATGGTTTTAGTCTCCTGCTGCTTAGTAGAGCTGCTGCTAATCAGAGCTAAACATTTTAGCTTTTAATGGTATCACTGGATCACTTCCCTACCCAAAGATTAAAACATTTGTGTCTCTGCTTCTATAAAAAAATTCAAGTGATTGTTTGTTTTTTCACACATGTTCAGCTATTCTTGTATGCATTTGTGCAAATCTAAAAATAAATAAATAAATCACAATAAATTAATAGATGTTAAAAACGCACCGTGTCTGGGTTCACATCTTTAATTATAACCAATCATGCTATGTTCAAGCTGGAATATTTTCACACAGCTCAGAGATGTGCACACATTAATTTACTCTGATGTTTGAATGCATCTATTGGCATCTTTCTGTTGGGTTTACATGCCCATACAGTTCAGGTCACATTTAGTTTAAACCAAAATGTGTATATAAACTAAAAGTGTAGCATTTCTTGAAGGGGTGCATATCTCCCACCACCATTCCTGCTGAAATTTAGACTAGGAGCTGCTCATGAGAGGGGGCAGAGTTGTAGCTGTTTTGGTCAAACCATGTAAAATACATTATGCACAAGCTCATGCAATATTGTGCAATCCTGCATGATGAATTAGTGCTCAAATTATGTGTTGGGAATGTCTCTTGCATACCACCACATCAAAAAATACCTCTATCTACAGAACTGACTGAGTTATAACCATTCATGTGTGGGCTAGTGTTGATTATCTGTGGTGGCCATCTTGAATTGTGTTAACCTAATACGTTATAAATGTGACCATGGTCATTTGTTGCATGCTTCATTAACATCTGTCCAGGGTTCATGCAACAGTTGATTCCAAACATTAATGTGAACGTTTTAGAAACATTATCTACATAAACAGTTGGGGCTTGGTGTATGTTTGGAAATGACTCGTTTGTATTACCACACCAAATATTAAGTCAACGTCTATAAAACTGTTATATATACTTTTGTATTTGACAGCATTGCTTAGCCGTGGTGGTTAAAATGCTAATCAGTTGTAGATGTACGTTTAATGTGCAATAAATTCGGTTCGGAACCCAATATACCTAGGAACACATGTTTTTTTTTCAATATAGAGGGTGTATGTACCATAAATGGTCTGACCACTGCACATCTTCATTTTGTCAACAAGATTTCATCAACAATAAAAACTAATTGATTTTTGACATTTTATAGTCTTTTCCGAATAGTTTATGATGCATCAAAAAGTACTGTCAAAATCAAAAACGTCTACCCAGTAACTACTGAGGTGTTTCATATGTTATTAGTTTATTGCTTCATTAAGCCTAATAGGATTTATTCAAATGGAAACATGAGTTTATCTACTTAAACCGATTGTAATCGCTCCAACAATGTTACTAATATTTAGCTTGGATCCAGTTGACAGACTGACCCCTTAATGAGCGTGCCAGTGGCATGAATTTGGAACTTCAATGAGTATTAATTAGAAATCAGTTCAATGACATAATTACTGACAATTGTGTGTCGAGACACAAAAACAATGCATTACTCTGCTGATAAGCGTGCGAGAGTAAGAAGGTGTTAATTAAAACAACACATCAGCCTGCTCCGTTTTAACGCTCGTGATTCCCCCTCTCGCATCCTCTCACACATATTCATTAGTGCAAATGGAATTAAAGGGATTGGAGGAATAATCTCCCTCCTCGGCCATGTGGGGGAACTGAGTCGTTAATTTTCCACCTCCAGCTCCACTTGCTTTGAAAAACCTCGCAGCGCATGAATGATTTGGAACGCTCGAATGTTACGTGACTTTAGACGTGTTCAGCCTAAGTAGGTTCTTGTGCTTATACACATTTTGCAGTTCTTGCTCACCAATACACGAGGGACTATATTATTGTAAGCAGTGATGTTGTCTTTTTCGTTCTGTTTTTATTTTTAGACAACACAGGTATGGAAGTAGAAGACCGTATTAGGTCTAAGCTTGCGACAAACAGCAATGGATGTCACTGAATTAGTCTCTCCCTACTACTGCTTTAAGTTTTTTCCTGCTTTTTATTCAGTAATATTTTGGGAAATATGACAAGAAGATGACAATGCAGTGTATACAAAGGTGTGCTTGCATCTGTGTCGGTCTGTTTTCCAGCTGAGGAGCAGAATAACAAAAGATCAAAGTATCAGCTTTGCCCAGGTCACTCGGTTTCTTTCCCATAGCTGTTGTAAACAGACGAATAGCTCATATTCCTGCAGAGGTGCATTCAGTCCTCTTTGAAATGGATATTCGCATATTTAAATGTACACAGAGTAAAAGCAAAACAAGTGAAAAAGCCGAGACGCACACAGACAAAGGCTCACACAGTGCAGAGCCGACTGCACATGATTTGTTTCCTCGGTTGTGTCTATCTGCTGGCCTGCCTTTGATTTGTTTATCTCTGCGCTCCATGAATTATACATTCACATCCTGGACTTTATGAAAGTTTCCAATTGTGGTCCCTCGGCAGACGAGTCTAATAACAGCTCTCACATGTCCTACGCGTGAACTCTAGAGTTCACTGAAGGCAGTGGAGTAATTTAACAGAAAAAAGCTCGAGCACAAGATAATTTGGCTCTCGGTAGACTGCTAAAGAATGATCTGATCTTGCTTTAGTGGTTTATATTTGTCACTTTCATGGAATGAGACAAAACCCCGAGTTATTTGACGGGAAGTTTGGATGCATCTTTTATACTGTACTTATTAAGTAATGTCTGATGTATGACATGCTGTAGCTGAAGGTTATCTACTGCAACACTGTCTCCAAACCCAAGTGCTTTAATGTAGCTTTAAAACAACTTTTGGTGACATTGCTGTCATGGCAACAGTGACTACAGAAGTGTGTGTTTGAGTTGTAGCTGCCAAGTACTTGTCATTCCCATGTCAAGGTTTTCTAATATCTTACAGAAATGAAAGATGTGAGACTCCTATTTTATCTGTATATAATTTCCACTGGCTGTGTATTAAAGATGAAAGTAGATGAAATATGGGATGTGTGAGCTGCCAGCCTTTAGAGATCCAGCTACCATTGGTTTCATGGAAGAGCCGCTGGCATTGATTGCAAGTAACTCTTGTATATTGAGGTTTTCAGTAGCATTTCACTGTATTTAAAGAGTTTAAATAAATTGTTAGGACTTTTTTTTTCTGATTAGCTTGTGACTTTCTATGTTTATCGTGTACTCTTGTGCTTTCTTTGCTTAAACGGCTATAAAACGGCTATACAAATTTAGTTTTACACGTTACTGTAGATAAATAATTAAGTAAACGGGTCTGAACACCTTGTCAACTGGGGTGCAACCAAAATGATTAATGCGAGCCGACCTCTATCAAAGGAATAATGTTTTTTTGGCAATATTGTGATCCCTCTCACTTGGAAAAAACAAAACACAATGTATTCATATTCATATCTTGTGAGATCACAGAATATTGCATGAGATTATGCCTGACTTTATTTACATGGTTTGATGGAAAAACAGCGTTACTGTTGCACTGTCCAATCTCAGCACAAAAGATGAGCTTAGGTTGAAACTCTGTATGGATTCTTTCAAGAAATGCTGAGTCTTTAACTGCTTTTTTAATCTGTTCCATCGGATATCTTGTGATCATCTTTTCATTGCTGCTTTACTAAAACTATTATCTTCTTGGTTTTCTCTCAACTGACTGGACTGGATAATGTTCCAGTAAAGTTTTGCTTCCGGTTATTTTTCACATCAAACAGACAAGTGCTTTGGTCGTGATACCACATTTATGTCTGCTTACAACCTTTTGAAAAGTGTCAAAAATCCTGCAACATTGATCCCTAACCTTTACAAATGGCAAGGGACGAGTGTAGATGCTGGCTGGCAGAGATTTCCGATGATGCCTGAAGGGGATAAAGACAGTGAGCGATTAGCTTCAGAAACATTCTGGTCACCTACACAAACACACGCATCACGACCTGGTTAGTTTTTGCTCAGCGGTTGTGGTTCATTGTGCGTTTGAGTGCAGATGTGTAGAAGACAGCTGATGCTCCCGATGCTTTAGCTGCGATCGCCAGATCAGTCTTTCTCCTATGGAATGCCAAAGTATCCAATGGGTGTGTGTGTGTTTGTGAATGTTGACAAGTACAGAGCCCTCTCCCTCCTTTGCTGTCCCCTGTGTCAGAGGAAAAATCAATCTACCTGTCAGCCATTGAACACCTTCGGCCTGTTACGTTACCTATCAGCAGAGGCACGTGTGTTTGTGTGTGTCTTCTGTCATTCTGTCAACCTTGCATCTGTCTTTGTGCTTTTTTTGTTGGTCTGTCCTGCTGTTTTCCATGTGCCTCTTGCTGCTTCAGATCTTCACTCTCCCCTTTGTCGGTCATATTTGACACCATCGTTGAAAAATGAGAGCTTTGCATCGGCAGCTTATCTTTTTTTTGTCAACTATTTTCTCCACATTCACATTGATAATAATTCAGTTTATCCTTTTGGAAAACCAGCGTAGTCGCCCATCTTTTGACATTTTTGCAATTTTATTTAGAAGCTAATAAGAAACGTAGTGATTAAAACTTAACGTCTGTACTTAAAATGTTGTTTTCCAGATCCCCCAGATCAGCTATGCGTCCACAGCGCCTGAGCTGAGTGACAACAGCCGCTACGACTTCTTTTCTCGCGTGGTGCCGCCAGACTCCTACCAGGCCCAGGCCATGATGGACATAGTCACAGCAATGGGATGGAACTACGTGTCCACGCTGGCCTCAGAGGGCAACTACGGCGAGAGCGGTGTGGAGGCCTTCATCCAGATTTCCAGAGAAACTGGTAGGGATTGTTTCCACCCTTCCATTGCTCACTGGCTGATTTTCGTTAACCAAAAGCTAATCGCAAAAGAGTTTTACTTTTAATGAAATGCTGTGGCTTTACTGTTATCGTTTTTTTGAGACTGAGTTTGTCATTTACACTGGTTTTTAGTCATTGTGTTGCAATCAGATGGCATTAAATATTGATCTGAAATCCATTACTGGGCATTAAAAATGTTCTCCATCTTGACACCTTTAATCCAAATAACATTTGTTAGTCTGAACACAATTTATTATGAGCCAAACAGGAGGCCCTCCAATTAAATTAATGTTCTGTTGTGTTTTTTGAATCAAAGTGAATTACAAAATGTTGTATAGGTGAGTTCCTCTTTGGTTTAATGTTTGGTCTGACTGTTTTTGGACTTGTTGTGGTTATGCTATGCTATGAAGTGCTGTTTTCACGTCACGGGAGCAGTCTGAGCAGCTGAATTATAGTGGAACTGAGATAGTGATACATTGTTAGTAGAAAAGGTTACCATTTTTCTATCCACTGTTTTTAGAGATGGTAGCTATATAATGCAAACAACAGTCTTTTGTGTGCGCTAGATGATTGTAAGGAACTAAAGCAAAGCTGGATGTGAAAACGTGTTTATCTTCAATGAAGCTATAATGGAAGTTCAGTGTTGGGTGAAATACGGACTGGAATTTGCAAGCTTGCACATACACATTATACTGGTAAATGAATGTGCATGTCATTGTTAACAGTGCTGCAAGTTCAAGTAATTTTCAGTCAGGTCATCTGGACAGTTTCTTTAACTGTTTGTTTAACAAAGAAACTGTCCAGATGACCTGACTGAAATTTGTTGGATTATATACATGGATTATTGAGCATGGACTTTTTTAATGCTGCAGGTTCTTGTATAACATTATACTAGAAGACTTGACTGGCATGCATAAAGTTTTTGAGTATTATCATAAATGTGGCATCAAATTGTTACACTGCCACATTAAAAGTCCTTGTATCAGGTTCAATTCCTTGTCCTTTTCAAGCATTTATTTCCTTTTTTCTCCTGTTTTCTGTCCTTTATGTTTATTCTACTTAAATTAAAGGCCACTAGACTCAACTAGAACAATTAAAAAAGAACCGCAGAACTCTGTATGTCTCCAAACATCTGTCGCTGGTGAATTCTTGTGATAACACTTTGATTACATCAACCAGAGCTAAGTAACTAATGCACAGTATAAAGAGAATAAAGCTCATTCATCTTCTAATTAGTATAAGTGATTCTTACAGTACACAGCTGCTTTATACTGTGTGAAAAGCTTTTTTTTCCTCAGTTCATTAAATCCCAGCAGCCATCTGAAGGCAGCAGGGCGCATAATTAACATGGCTTACAGACTCAAATGTCATTGCCTCCCTTCCATTGGACATTTTATCTAAAATTGAATTTCATACTTTGCAACAATAATATCAGTGCATATGTTGTCGTGCAATGCCACCGACATGTTTTAACACAGAATAAAGTAAAAAGAAAAGTTTATTTCTGTTGTTGTCATCTCCATATGAGTCTGACTGCAGATTGGAAGAGTTTTGAAATCAATTGATGCCACTTTGGGTTGTGCAAACAACAGTCAGCGTCTTTTCATTGTGCTTTTATGTTTTTGTATTTCACAGTGATTGAATTGGTGATATGACTAATTGAGAGCAAAATTATCACTTTTCAAAACATACATTTACTAGTTAGCTTTTCCAAATGCTGAAACATGCATTTACTTAGTGACAGTTTCTTGGAAGGAAGAATAACTACAGGTATTTCTTGAGAATCGAACAAGGTTGAGTAATGTCCTCTGGATAGATTCTTCTTTGTTGAGAAGTAAGAACAAAAAATAATCTGGAGGATCTGACTCTACCTTGTTATATTTATCTACCTGGATTATTGTGCATGCATCAGGACATTTTTAACCACTTTGGCCAGGATTGCCTCAAACTACGTAGTTTTAGAGTTCGAGCAGACAGGAACCACCTGTCAACCTCCGATGCAGATAGTGACACCTTTCCCCAGAGCCTGCAACTCAAATCTTATGTCAGTAGGCACCAGGCAAGTGAGCTCCTTCAGAGGGCACAGACCCAGCTGCTGAATGAACAGGTGAGACAGACCAATTTTCAAGATTGAGCCTTTAAAGGCCAAAGAAGAGCACATCAGACAAAAAGCTAATAGCACGCCTAGATAAGACCACATTTCAGCAAGCGGTTGATTTGACAGATAAGGCATGCTTACCTTAACATGTCACGTTCATTCAACCTTTATTTATACAGGTTAGTCCCATTGAGCCTCGGAGACTCATTGACAAGAGAAACCTGATTTTAACAAAGAGTGATGACAACAGTAGGCAATCATAAAATAAAGCATACAAATTGAGAAGAACAAATGAAAGAAAATGATTAAAAAACAAAAACAGCTAGATTGTAAAGCAATGAAGAATACTAAAAACAGGGACATGTCTGCATTGGTTTTTGCCATAAACTTAGCAGGTGTTAGTCCAAGACCGGCAACAAAAGAAGTTTAATTTACTGGCAAGTCATCAAGCCCATCACAATCTTAACAACACACTCAGTGGCAGACAACACACTGGTAGACAGTCACACGCCAGGGAGACAGAAAAGTGGGTGAAGAATTTGTCTGACCGACAGCTCACCAAGCCGGTGACAGAGGACTGAATTTGCCAGGGGACTGAACTTTGTGGTTGTGCCAAGAAGAATTCCTCTGGTGGAGATGATCACAGCCACAGTATCAGCTATCTGCAACAATAAAATTACAGAGTTTGAAGCAGAACAACTTAGGAACAATGTTTCAGCCTGTCTCAGCAATGCCAAACCACCACCTCCCAACATCAGCAGAGAGGAGAGGGACATGCTCAGCACTATGTGACAACAAAGAAGAATCTGCCCAGAGGAAATATTTATTTCATTTATTCCATTAATGGAATAGTGAGACCATGTTTTAACCGGAACCACTTTGGGTGAATTAAACTTGGGGAACAAGAATGACATGGGCACAAAAAACATGAAATCAGGAAATGGATGACTTGTCTGTTTTGATTTAAATCTTAAAAGCCCAGGCCCTGTGGTCTTTAGAGCATCAAGTTGCGTAAACGCATCCCCAAATCAGTTTGTGAAATCCTCTAAGTGATGTTGATAGATCAAAATGTTGTCAGTTTCTCTTGTTTATACCTCAGATGTGTATTAGAACGCACCACGTTGAGTGCTGACAAATATTTACAGAGTGAAAGAGTTCAAGATAAGTAAAGTATCCTTTAGAGAAAATGTCAATGGAGATTTCTCCCTTTTGATATATTTTGATCATTCCCTTTACAGCAGTCCTTCTCAGCGTAGCTTTTTCCTTCATTGTGTGTGCGCTGCTTCAGAGATGACAGCTCTGCGTGCGTGTTTGTGTGTGTACACTGTGGTCTCTTCGTCCAGCTCTCTGCCTCTCTGGAGCCACCTCACCTGGGGGCTGGATGCTGTGACAGTCAGCACATAGATATTTTCTGTGGTGTCAGATCGCTGTCCGTGTGAGGCCCCCCTCTAAAGACTAAAGCAGTCCTCAGCATTTGTGTTGTGCAGGTCAGCATAGTGTTTTCTTCTTCAGAGTGTGTATGGGTGGGCGACATGCTGTGACAGCAGCCAGTCAGTTGTTTATTCTGCAGCTCTTTTTAAGATTCAAACCAAACCCAAAGGATGAAGCGATGGCAGAGCAGGACAGAGCTGGGGATAGCTTATAGGATGTTGGTGTGTGTTTATTATACATTTGTGGAAAAACAGATGGCAAAGGGACAAGATAATAGAAGCAAATTAAAAACCTAGCATTACTTAGAGGAACATTAATCACCAGCTGCTGCACGCCAGTGTTTTAGACCAAAATTGTATTTTTTGAGGAGTAATGGAGTTATAGTTTTAGTTAGACCTTGAAAATAATGTAATGCTTAATTGCATGCAATATTGCGAGAGTATGTGTTGAGAATGGATTTTGGCTACTACCACAACAAATTTCAGCTCACTATATATTAAACTGACTGGAGTATAGTCATTGTTGTGCTGGCTAAGGTCCATAAACTATGGCAGCCAACTTAAGTTGACTCCACTTGTAGATGTATGATTAGTTTATGAAAGTTAGCCTCTCAGCTGCTATCATACTAAATTTTAGTTTAACATCTATACAATTAATTTAATTATAACTATTGTTGTATTTTCTAAGGTCAGTTGACTGCGGTGACCATCTCAATATACACTGCCTGGCCAAAAAAAAAGTTGCCACCAAAAAAAATAGGTCACACACTGATGTTTCTTTGGACCGACTTTAGCTTTGATTACGGCATGCATTTGCTGTGGAATTATTTTGATAAGCTTCTGCAGTGTCACAAGATCTATTTCCAACCTGTGTTGGATTCATTTTTCACCAAGATCTTTCAATGATGACTAGGCACTAGGCATGATGGGTGCATCATTCACCTGCCTCTCTTCTTACCCTGATACGCCCATCACTCTGGACTCATCAGACCACATGACCTTCTTCCATTGCTCCAGAGTCCAATCTTTATGCTCCTGAGCAAATTGAAGCCTATTTTTCCAGTTACTCACTGATTAGTGGTTTTCTTAAGGCTACACAGCTGTTCAGTCCCAATCCCTTGAGTTCCCTTCACATTGTGTGTGGGGAAATGCTATTACTGTCACTATTAACCATAGCCCTGAGTGCTACTGTTGTTTTTCTTCCATTTGATTTCACCAAACGTTTAAGTCATCGCCGATCACGATCATTCAGGATTTTTTCCGGCCACATTTCCTCCTTGAAGACGATGGGGCCCCACTATTCTTCCAGTTTTTATTAATGGGTTGGACAGTTCTTAACACAATTTTAGTAGTTTCTTCAATCATCTTAGATGTTTTCTCTGCTTGATGCCAATGATTTGACCCTTCTCAAACAGACTGACATCTTTTCCATGACCACGCGATTCGTCTTTCAA